CGGAGCGGAGCGGAGCGGAGCGCGGGGCCGCGGCCGCCTCCACGTGGCCGGACGGGCGCGGCGCGGAAGGGGCGGGCAGGGGCCGTGACCGCGACCGGTAACGGGGCGGCCCCAACGTCCGCGACCGCGCACGGGCGCCGCAGCCCCGCGGCTCCCTGCGCTCCCCCCACGGGAAATAGACCCGACACTAAAGCGCGGTCTTATTCCCGGTTCTCTCTTGCAGCCCCTCGGCAGAGCTGAAGGGAGTGCGCTGCTACTGACAGGACCCAACAACCTGCTTAACACCCCTAACAAGCTGCTACTCATTTCTCCTTTGGAGCTGAGATGTGATGAGCCTCATCCCAGCCCTAAAGCTCGAGAACATGGATCGAGAGGTGCTCTCAGCTTCCAGGCACTTGCATCTCTAAAACGGTCACAGAAAACACAGAAAAAGAAAATTTCTCATCCTTCCCCAGRAAGGCTGCTCAAGTGTTGCTTGTGTTTGTGAGCTCTCCTCAGCAAATGAAGCCCTGCTGAAAGCTTTAAGGTTCACTCAGTCACTAACTGCAAATCCACAAGCATTTGTTGTCTACTTTGCTTTAATCACAAACCAATCCCATCTGTTTAATTTTTCTAAGAACAGGAAAGTGAAGGCTGGAAATACTTAAAATGAACTAAAGGAAAACAAAGCTTTGTAAGAAGTTTATTTTGTGGCCATTATACAAAATAAGCAGCCAGAGCTGCCATTTTGTCCTTGGGCTTCTTTGGATTGGGCCTTCCCCCCGGCCTGCGGCCTTTCCCTCGGCCCCGGCCTTGCCTCTTCCCCTGGCCCCCGCGGTGCATGGGGTGCCGCATGGCCGCGTGCTTCAGCTCCACCAGATCCTGAAACACGGGGTCGCAGAAGACGCAGCCCGAGTGCTGGGTCTCGTCGCCRGGCAGGGGAGACTTGGCTTTGTTAAAATCCACGTCCACGAGGGCGGCGTCGCACGAGTCGCAGGTCTCGGGCGACACCCGCACCTTGTGGGCGTTCTCGAAGAAGTGCACCACCACGTTGCACTTGTTGCAGGCCATCTTCCACTTGGGCCCCGATGTCGAGTCCAGCACCAGGACGCCGTTGTCGCACTCCACGCACTGCCCGATGCCGAGCATGCTCAGCGAGTGCTGGCACGTGGGGTGGGTGCATTCGTTACAGCCCATTCCTGCCGGGGAGGAAAGAGTGAAACTAGACCATGAGAAACCCTCCGAACTGGCACCATCCCTTTGGCAGGAGGTGAGATGCAGAATTGACAGTCGAGCACGTTTTATGCTTTCTAAATCAYCACAAAACAGAATCACTCCACCGAAGGCAACCTGCCTTTTCACAAATCAAAATATTCTCCAAAATGTTTCTATAATGGCTTTCAGCAGTGCCCGACAATGCCACGACAATGTCCAGTATAGGCAATAAGGCTAGACCAGTATTGAAGACACATGTCCCCAACAACACGTAGGGCTCCTAATTAACCCTTGGTTTCATTCTTAGCCTAGATGCTATTTGTACAAGATACAGAAAGCTCTAATAGTCAGAGCTCTTAAGCCTTAAGTTTTGACTCAGGTATAAGCCTTAAGTTTTGACTCAGGTATCAGACTAACTGCAACTTTTCTACCTCCTTTCTTACCAATGGCACTTGACACACAGCATCAAAACAGGACTGTCCCACTCTCAGACCAGACCTTAAGCTACAGTCCCGTTACAGGTACCAAGCACCCTCATATTTCCAATTTAAACCTGTCAGACTCAGTGTCTTGCATTATATATTGAGTGTTAGGAACGTCACTCACTTCACGTTTCTTTTCCTGGCTTGTGGAAAGCATCTCTCAGATTCAATAAGATGCACAGGGAAATTTCACAAAAAGAACTAACATTTTAACTAAATCCCTGTAAGGCAGGGATTCATCAGAGAAATCTTATTAGATCTCAAGCCCAGAAATTTACTATGCAGAATATTGTCCTAAATCAATAAATTCCCAAATCAAGCTATTTATTTCACTACTTTACATACATATTCTAAAGGATMTTACTGCTTTCACTGCTTTAACCCATTGTTGCTATTATTGTGGAACTGCAAGAATGGATTAAAGTATTCTTTGTTTATTCGCAGTAAAACTATTGGACTTTTGTCCAGGTACAAAGTCTCTGAAAACGTTTGTTAGTGCTGATTAAAGGCAAAAATAATACTGTTACGAAATAGCTCAGCTAATAAATTTTGATCAACAAGTTTAATGTGAATTTTATGTATCTAATCAACAGCACTTGAACAGCACTTCATACTAAGCAACATTGATTGAAAACTACTAAAAACCACACTGAATAGACTGCMCATAATTTACTTCATATGAGGCTGATCTCTGCATGTCTACAGAAGTCTTACCTTTTTTCATGTCCCTGAAGGGAGGGTGGTTGTAGCAGTATGGACAGAGTGGGTAGCTCTTTCCTCTGGATCCAGATGACCACAACACTAGCTCAAAGTCATCCAGGGGACAACGCAACTCTTTGTAGAGCTTAATGGTACCATTCTGTGGGAGACTGTAGGTGTCATCACAGTGAGAGCAATGCAGCCGACTTGGCTTGGCCTGGAAACAGAACACAATTCTCCACAGCTGTACTGAGGATGGGGTTCAAAACTCACACAAATCCAGCTGGATGCTCTGCTCTCCAGTGTGTTCTCATGGAAAACTCCATCAGGCCTTTTGTTTTAGAGATGCCTTCTTCACAATCGCATTTGAATCCAAATTCAGCGATGGAAAAGAGATTTCTACTCAAAATCCTCCAGCAAGTGAAGTTTAAAATACAAGCACAAGACAAACTTACCTGAATATACTTCATAAAACGATGGCATTTGCCACAGCGGGAAAGGGGCTTGCCCGTGGCAGCTAAAGGTGAAAAAGACACCTCCATCAGCTCATCCATACCTGGAGAAGAGGAAAAATTATATTGATATTAGAACTCTAACTCCCAACAGAAAACTGGCACAAAATCATCTGATGAGCCTGTAAAAGAGTAGTGTAATGGGTATTAAAATAATACCAATACCAAAACATCTCCCAATACTGCACAACTTCCCATTGACCAAAACATTTAAAAGCAACCTAATATTTAAGTTCTTTCTGCTAGCATCTTTACTACAATTCAGCAGTAGTAGATAATTTCACATATAAAAGATTTTACCCGCAATAGAATCCACAAAGTAGTGGAATTTCCTTTTGAAGATGTCAAGAGTATGCTCCAGGACCTGGTGATAATTTGCTTTACCCAGAGCTATTAAGTTGAGCTGCTTCTCTACAGCGCTGCGGATTGTAGGAAGAACCAATTCTGCATCTAAAGGAAAATCAAAGACAGAAGCAATGGAGAAGCAGCAGTTAAAAAAATAATTAATGGGGGTAGGTTTTAATTATTAGTCTTCAAAATTAAAAAGACCTTCCTAGAAATGCATAATTTCAGACAGAAATGCTACTTACACACAGACAACAGCACCTGACATACTGAAGTGAGAGGATAGGGCAGGAAAAGAAGCATCAACTGACCTATTTTGTAATAGCCGTGAACCAGAACGATGCCAAGGTTTGTGGGCTTTAGTCTCCGACCACTCTCCACTGTGACATAGTTTCGCTGGCAAATGTTGTTAATGTGGACGGGAATACTTGCATCAGTTCCTGCACACACAAGCAATATAACCACCTTGAACATAACAAAGCTTTGGTTGAATTAGTCATTTCTGACTTCTCTTTTCTAATTTTTTTTTTTGTTTCCTTGATTTTGTTTGCTTTGTGAAATTGTAAAGCTTTCTAAAACAGCTTAAAATTTCAGGTACCTTTTCACTGTTATCCAGTTTCCAGATGCTCATTTCTCTTTTATCTAGTAATTCACACGTTCCTCTGCAGTTCTGAGAATTCTGAAATGTATGATTTAACCTTAATCCTTTCACCTCTTCCAGGGAATTACTATTRTGTAGGTAGCTATTATAATAATCACTTCCTCTGGAAAAATACAGTGGAGTAAGAGACTATATTCATTTGGGCTACACACGTTAAGAAAATACATTGCAGGGAACAATCCAGATTGAAAAAGAGAGGAAATACTGTTGCAAAATGTGTAATGAGAGACATTAGAAATAYTGGAATCAGCAAAGGCAAGCTGTAAAGGCAGGAAGACATTCCCAGTAATGTGGGTGCATTCTTCCATAAAACACCAGCTCTTTCTGACAGAGAATGGTGAATGGTAAATTATGAAAAGATGGTTTCTTTGGCCAGAAACCATGCATGAGTGTAAGAAAGGGAAAGCACTATGTGGGAAAAGGGAATCTACAGTCCTGTAAGAGGTGCTAGYGGCCCTCTAGTTTGAATGGAAACAGATAGCACTGCTGTACCTATTCAAAACAATGCCAAAAGGTTATTACAAAGAGAGACAGCTCAGAGACTCTGCTCTAAGGAGTGACTCAGATTTGCCCTCTTGTTGGATGTACTACAGGATAGTGTAAGTGAAGCCAGTTCCTACCAATGCCATGCTTTTCCATCAGAGTGATAAGTTCTGCTTCAGTCAGGTAATCAGGTGGACTGGTTTGTTTTTCCAGCAGTTTTATTTCACCAATTGGAAAGACATCTCCTCTCTCACAATGGGGAAGGCTCTCCTCTAAGGGGATGCTGTGCCAAGGCATAATTTCTGTGAAGCCTGGAGGTTTAAAAAATAAAACAAGAGCACTCATCTCCACAACTTTGAAAAAGAACAAGGAAGAGGTTTCTAATTTTAACTTGGGCTAACTTGGGCTGCATTATATAGATAAAAGCTGGGAAGCTGCATGTTATACCACATAGAAGATAACTGATATTGAATGAGGTTGGGTTTACTCAGGAAATACTAGATCAACAAGAAGTTTCTCCTACTCCACAGCACTGTTTTGTGGGTGGCCTGAGTCAGCCTGATGTACAAAAGAAGTTATACTTTACTTGAAGGAAAATACAATGCAAGTGTTGCACTATTTCTATTCCTGAGACTATTACATGCAAAATAATATATGTTCTACAGTGTAACAGAAGTATGGAAATTATGACAAAGATCTGTTGTTTGCTACCTTGATATCTCAAAAATGTCTTCAAATTTCCCCTAAACCTCACTTCTATATACTCAATGTATTATAGGAAAAAATATAATAACCTATAACTAAGCACTCACTTCTCTGTTAGTCCTACCTGGTGAAGTTACCACTTTTCCAATACAGGTAAAACGTTCAGGACCAATACTGAAAGAAATGGTCGTTTGTAGGTACTTGCAATCAGCACTGACAGTGGCAATGAAATGTCTAGTTATATACTCATATAGTCGCCATCCATCTCCACCTAAGGATAAACAACATCGTCTTACCCACAAAACTCAAGTCCTGCAGCTCTACATAAAATTTGCACTAAGTACCAGATTTCCATTGCTATCCCAGAAAAAAAAAAGATGCCCAAAACCTAAAAAAAACAATTAATTCTAAAAGTCCATCTAGCAGTACATTTACTGTATTTAAATAAAATCCCCTTTTGAAGGATTGCAGCATACAAAATGTCTAATGTTACATTTTAATATAAAATACAAATCACAGAGATTTAATTAAAAGGCATTTAAAACTTGATTTTCAAACACAAATATATAATAAATTAACTACTTGCAAGTCACTATTCTTCAGCAAGTTTTTCCTAGTGAAAAGTAGGTATTTTGATTTTAGGTGGGTTATTTCTAGTTCTTAGCAGGTACAATGAGCTCTAGGATCATTTATTGACGAGCAGACCAGATCACTGACATCAGAGGTTTCAGTCACAAGAAAGTCTGCTCTTTTCCCTTGCTGCCACTTGAATAATTATATTTTCTACAAGGAGTGAGGGATTTTCAGACATGCTCCTGTCTCCCTAAAAAAATCTCAAATCTGAAAAAAAGTTCTCTGTATAGTGTTCTAACACTGGTGAATTTTCTAATACCTAATTCTGCTTCTGTTGCAGCTCTCATGGGTGTGATGGGAGGATGGTCACCTGCATCATGGCCCTTCCTCGGGCGATTAATACCTTCTGAGAGCAAAGCTTTTACCTGAGTGAAGAGAGAGAGAAAATAAGCTGAAGTAGGTAACAAGTCTATCAGCAGATTAGGAAAATTTTCAGATCTAATCCATAACAATACAAAGCTCAGAAATGAAAGTAATTACAGATAATTATTTATTGCTTGCACAGATCTATAATCAACATACATCAGGTATCTTAAAAAAATAGGCTAGAGAATGAATTGTTAAATAATATAGGTTCTGTTTCATGTACTCACAGTTTCTGCCCAATAAGGATTATTAGCTTGTTGTCTCAAACATCCTTTCAAGTCAAAGTTTTCTGGATAATGGGTAGTTTCTGTTCGAGGGTAGCTAATATAACCCTGAGTGTAGAGACGTTCTGCTATTTGCATGGCATGTTGGGGACCCATTCCTGGGATGGGGTAGGAGAAAACAAAATTATGATCACAGCRAAGCGCAGATGATTGCATGTGTTGGGTGTGAAAGTAAACTCTACCACAGCATTTAAATAAATTCTGATTTGTCCTTTCTACAAGAGTTTTGTCACCTTGATCTAACTCAAAACTTCACTTTCAACATGTTTGTTAAACTTGCCCTTCCCCCAGAATTATATGTTTATTATGGGAAGAGGATGCTGTCAAAAATATGTGTGATGTGCCCTTGATTATTTGATTTGAAAAGCCAAATAAATACTTATATTTAAATAGTTTGAAAAGCTGAACTTTCACACATACCTAAAGCAGCACTGGCCACTCGTAGCATTTCTACCGTGTTCAGAGCCAGTGGTCTCTGCTTCACCTTCTCTTTTTTACTCACAGATTCTACCTAGAAAATAGTATTTGCCCAGTAAGAGTTCTGCAGTTTGCTACCTAATGAAAGTTTAGTTTACATGATGACCATAAACATGCTCCACAGCTAACATTACCTATTCTTATCACTATCTATTTTGTTCTTGTAAAACAGCCACAAAATATTTTTATTTCTGAAAATCTGACTAGAGACAGTTTTAGCAATCTAAAAATACACTCCCAGCACTCCTTTGTGCTAGAGACTAGATAGAGCTATAACCAGGAATGCAGCAAGGTAGCTTATTGCTATCTTTACTTCCTATCTACCTCAAAGTAGTTTCAGTGTTACAAGGATTTACTGCATAATCCAAGTAATGTTCTTAACTATAAGAATCTAGACTTTTAAAAGCTTCATGCAGTCTTTGAACCTTGATGCCTGTAAGCATTTAAATGCAAACATACTGTCAAACAAGTATTGAACAGAACAGAATTAGAAGTTAATTGGCTATAAAGATTGTACCATGCACATKATTAAAATTTTAACTGCAGGAATATTGCCATATAAGTAATTAAATTCTGATTTATACAATGTCTCATGGGAAATAAGAGGTCTGCTTGGAGAGATCTGAACAGTATTTCTCAGCAGGTTTAGTAATGAAGATTTCCTGTCATGACTGATGATCATCTCCAAAGTCAGTATGAAAAAATGAGCTTGCTTCTGTTGTGATGACMAAAGTAGCATAATATGTACCCCAATCAAAAACCTCTTGCCTTTTATTTTATTTATAACATATATAAGCTAAATGGAATTTAAAAAAAACCCCAGCATATCAATAATATACACTCTTCTTAAAAAAAGGAAAATTCAGCAAATTAAATATTATTTTCTCTGTATGAAAGATGGCTTTACTAACGGTAAATATTCTTACCTTTGCTTCTTTTTCCATCTTTGTTATATTTAGGAACATTTGAGCAACCTCGCGATCAAAAACCCTCACTCTATCCCAATCCAAAGTGAGAGAATTTTCTTTTTCAGGGTTCACCTAGTGGATGGGAAAAAAAAATAGTCATTAACACCTCACACTTCTACTAAAAGTACGAGAGCACACATTTGCCACCATAATTCAGCAAACAAATCCCAATCCCTAGGCTATGAAAAAAGAATTCCAAACTTGTAGCTGTACTGTTTTTCACGTGGACTTTTGAGAAGCCCAAGGGTTATTTTGAGTTCTGGGGTCAAGAGACTGAATGGAAGTATTCTTCAACATAGCTGAAATACTGTACTTATTCATAATGCTGGCAAGAGTCAAGACTGAAATAGGCAGAAATTCAAATTTTACCATTTTGTTTTAGTAAAATGAATGCTTTATATTAAAAGCAAATTGTTACTCAGTCACATTTTAAGTCGCATGTACCAAAAAAAAAAAAAAGAACCAACCATCATGAAACCTTGAAATTCGCCAAAAGTAGGCACCAAGTATTTTCTAGCACTGAAATTGTCAACGAAAACGGACAATAGTAGACACGAGATTTYATCTTGTTATTTTAAACTCCAAAAACGGCAACTTTTTCCATCCCTCTCCAATTTGTTTAAAAAAATCTTGCAGTCGGAAGCAGTAAAACCATTCCGATTTGTTCTCAGAGCTTGGAGAGCAGCAAGGCTATAAAACTGCCATAAGCTGCCAAAGTATTCAGTGGACTCAATTGCCAATTAACACAATGAACATTTTATTTGCTTTAAACTTCCAATATTCAGCAATGCCAATGTTTGTTGGCAGCCTAATTAATTCCTGGATTCAAATTAACAACACAGCCAGTCCAAGGACCCCAGGGAACAAAACCAAAGCATTTTAAGCACTCTTTCTGGCTGAGCCTAAGCTTGGATAGTTAGCACTGAAGTATTCTTATAAGCAGCACACAATAACCGCTTTAATATAAAACTGACATCCTGGAAACTCTTCTAGAGAGTGTGGTGACAAACATGYGAAGTGAATAAAAATATACAAGCAAATTGGAAACATTGTGAATTCTTGTCAGCAGCTACAAATTTATGAATGGAGAAAAATGAGAATACATGAAATTTTTTTTTTTCAGATATAAATGTAGGTTCTTTGTAGGCAAAACTTACTTTAGCTTGCAGCACCCAGTAAGTCTCAGGCTTAAATGACTGGATTTTGTCATGTCTTTCAACACAGAATCCAAGAGTTGGAGTCTGACATGGCCCAAAGGAGATGAGGGAGCTGTCTAGATTTCCGTATTTCCCCTGGAAATATTTAGTTTGAAACCTARGAGAGAAAAATATCAGCAACAAGTGCATTAACATACTTCTTCTCACCAAATGCAAAGACTTCCCTAAGCTTACACAGACACATATGAATACTCTATTAGATCAGTCAAGTATTAGGAAAAAAAAATAAATTATAAGATCTTAAAAGCTAAACTTTGCCTCACAGAATCTTTCTTATTCTTAATTGGGAAGAAAGGGATAAAATAAAAACTGAAGTTGTTCAGTTTGGTGCTGAGGAGAACTAGCCACTAGTGTTTTAAAGCGTATTTTGTAGACCAGTGTAGCTTTCCTGAATCTTTCACACCACTGTCTGTAATCTACACTGTCACCTTGTAAACGCACAGCCAATTCTAAGATCCAGCTCCTGGCGGGCATCCACTGAGAGCGCCTCATTGCGATTGGGTTCTCCCAAGTGATTCATGGCATTGCAGATGTCTGTGTCAGTGATAGAGCTGAATTTAGCTCTATACACGGTTCGTTCAGTGCTACGAGGTTTGTTCATAACAGGAAGAACAGCATCGAGAACCTAATGAAGAACAGAAACAGATWTTGAAAGTAATTGAAAGGCGTGTAAAGTAGTATTGCTCTCTACAGAATCCCTACAAAGTATTTGCCAAAGCTTAACTATGKTCTTCATTCATTAAGATGTCATGTCAATGCATTAATTGATAAACAAAAGTAATATTGCCCGCATACTTAGAAGTATATCAAGAATTAACAAGATTGAAGGACTTATTTATTAAACAGTGATTGCTGAAAGAGAAGCACTCTTCTTGGCTAAATRCAAGGAAATTCTCCAGTGCTGCTGCAGCACTTTTTCGTAAGAATGTTTCAGTTTCTATCCGGGTTTACTTTTAACTATTGCCAGGGCACAGTTACATTTAAATTCTTTAGTATCTAAATGCAAACAATTGATAAAATGTGTGTCTTTTGTCTAAAGACAATACAATTTTTTTTTTCATGTAGACTTCTGAGGGTAAAATACCCAGCAAAATTGCTAATTTTAGTTATATATTCTTATGTGCGGGGTCCAARCCCTCCTTAGGAATCTGCAGCCTCTACACTCAAAAGTATCTAATTGTCTAAAGCACAAAGGATGAGAGAGACCAAGTCTTATGAGGACAACAAAATAGCTATTTCAGCTCTGAAATTTAGACTGATCCTTGAAGCCCTGGAATGTTTGGACAATTAAGAGATTATTCATCTCAGATGAGCAACGTCTATAAAATTGATTTACAATAACTGACATCTTAGCATGCAGAAACAAGAATTTTTCCACCAAGGCACTCTATGACCTTGAAACTTCATTCAACTTAGTTTGATTTTTTTCAAATATCTATAAAGCAGCATACTGATAATGCTGAGTGCTGTTATGTCACAGATGTATTTATCATGGTATTAAGAGACCTAGAAATTGAAACCTTACTTCAAAACAGATGTTTTCTCCTTCTTTATCGCAATCCAACCACAAGACAATATAATCACAGCCTCTTCCTTCCACCTGTGAGAAAAATCAGCACAGTTCTTCAAAAACTTAGAAAAGTTGCCTCTCCTCACTAACTAAAAATTTTATTTAAATTTATTTAAATTTAAATTGAATATCTCTAAATTAAATTTATTCTCTTTAAATTTGAAGAACTAAAGGTATATTATCACTCAGTCCTTTCACCTTTCCATTACATAATTTCCACATCTTTAAATAAATAAATAAAAACATCCAACCAAAAATCTTTGCTAACTCACAAAGATATTACAAAATCTTTCATAGAACTATTTAGTTATTCACAGAATAATTTCACTTATTTTTCAGCGTAAGATAAAAAGCAGTCTCATTACTTTGTACCCAATGGAAGAACAGAGCCAATGAATGCCTGATGATGGAATGTATCCCATAAGAGAAGGTACCTGTAAAAATTTCACCATGGTCAGTTTGGGATTTGCTTCTTTCTTTTCTGTAGGGGCTTTACTAAAAAGTTCTGCTGGATCCACTTTGTCCCAGCTGTTGTATTTTCCTGAAAAATAGAAGCATGTTAGCCAAAGTTCTATCTTAAGAACAGACAGTAAACAAAGAACTAAACAAACAAACAAACAAACANCAACAAAATTACTGTGCAGAACAACTGATTTTCAAAATCTATCATGGAAAGCTTTCTACTCTAACACACCTTACTTTAAGTCCTTAGTTCTCATGTGAATTGCAGTTTAGTTAGTTTGAAGCATGACATGCCAAGCGGAGAAAAATGCCAGGCACCTTTCACAACGACAACACGAGCTGTTAAAATACTCTATTAGTATGATCCAGCCAAAGGAAGGATTTTTTTCCTTGCTCTCATTATGCATATAAAATGAACACAATACAGTCTCTTTTACTTTTCATTACATATAGGTAGCCCTGCCAATAAATGTCTATCATGGATCATCCTTTACTATCCTGTAGTATCAGGGTATTTGTTCATTTACATGTCTCTGAAGTAATTGTTAGTAATGACATGGAAAACTCTAATGTACTGCTTAAACAATTAAAAATTAGTCCTTGTAAAACCTATGAGGCAGTCAGCATTAGATCAAATAGCCACATGGCTAGTTCAACACTTCAAAGGAAGTGACAAGAACCCTTGCACATAAAGAACCCTTTACCATAATACATCCTACATTTTAGACAATCTCTTTGTAGAATCTACATTTCTTAATTATCTTTCATCCAAGAACATAAAAACATTATGCAGTCTAGCAAATTGAGCTTCATCACCCCTTATATTCTGGCAGCACTTGTGAGACAAAGACAAGAAAAGTATCTGAGGGCAGTACAAGAAGTCAACTACAGGGCTAGAAACAGAAATCAGAACTGCTGACCATCAGTGGCCTTTTCATCCTCATTTCCTCTCTAATCTGAACACTCTCCAAGTCATTTTCACAATCATTATTTTCCCATTAGAAGTCCCAGAGAGTTTTGCAGGCCATATCGGTTAAGAAGGCTCATACAGACACATACCTATGAAATCCAAAGTCATCACGTGGCCGCACACGGATGTCATCTTGAAATGGGCACTCTGTCCCACAAATGATCCAGCGTACTCATGCACAGAGCACGCACCATTCAGCCCTTTGCGAGAGGACATGTTTCCTACGAGAATAAGAACATAAATATCAATTTAAAAAAACTATTCTAAGATGCATTATTTCTGAGGAAATTACTGTCCCACTTCCCTTTTCCAAATTGCACAGATCAGGTTTTTCTGATTATTGACGTCCACTCTTTGGCTTTTCTTCAGCCAAATATCACTTTGGGCCCTTCTTGGCTTATCTCACTTTAGCAATTTCAACCGAAACTATACAAAATCCCTGCTGCGTTTCAATTCCCACCAAAAAATGCTCAGAAAAAAAGGCAGCATCATTCCCGGGTCAGCCACACACATTCTGTTTTTCACATGACTTATGAGATTATTTTAAAGTATTTTATAAGAGCAACACGCTACGTAATCAGTGCTTTTCAGAAACCATATGTGGAACTGCACACCTCCGCTATATGTAAAATAAAAGCAGGCTCTTTTATGCTTGGATTGAAGAGGCGTTAGCAGGTTAAAGAAGCACAACATAGTGATGGGTTACTGGGGATGCATCCCAAGACACAGTGATATGTTACTGGGGATCCATCCCAAGACACAGTGATACGTTACTGGGGATGCATCCCAAGACACAGTGATACGTTACTGGGGATGCATCCCAAGACAGCACTGGCAGGTGACACCAGAGCTGCTCTCCAGGGTGTCTCCCGCCTCGCTATCCTGCGGGAGCACCTTCCAGGAGGGAACCCAGGAGATTCCCACTGGGATGCCGTCAGACAGGCCGCGCGTGCCGGGACTCTTGGGCTGGCACCAGCAGCAGCACAAAGACAACGGTGTCACGCTCGCCCTACCCCGTGAGAGGATCTTGGCGATGGACTGCGCCAGCGAGGGCTTCTCCGCGACCATCAGCACGGTCTTCATGTCGGGGCGGCAACGCGCACAGCCGAGCGCGGCAGCACCAACAGGGCTCCCCGCTCCACCGAGGGGCCAACACTGCTTCTGGCGGGGCGAGACTCGCTAGGAACCGCCCCTAGGGACAGACACATAAATAAACACATGAAATGAAATGCGCAACCCGCCAGGGCTACCGAAGGGGTCCCGCACCGCCGCCTCAGCGCCCGCCGCCCAACGCGGCCCTGCGGGACCGCGGGTTCGAGCCCCACGCGGGGAGGCAGCGCCGCCCGAGGCGGGAAGCGCGGAGCTCCCCCCGCCGCCGCCGCGGCCGTTCCCCCCGGCGCCGCCAGCACCTC